TTTTTTTTTTTTTTTTTTTTGCTGTTCTCAGTAAGTTTTCTTAATATTTCTTCTATAGTTATTTTTTTTCCTTCTTACAGTACTAATGGGTGGTTTGGGTATTACAAGCGAAGCAGTACGAACTCTTCTGAACAACTATTTCAGTAATCGGAATGTTGTAAACGAATTGGTACAAAACCGTGAAAGAGGTAAACTTTTGTTGATATTTTGGATATTATTACTGTGTTATTAAATGTTGAGTGTTTATTCATGAATATTTTACAGAAATTCTGAATATTTTGGATCTGTTGGATCGGATCCGAGTGAAGTGGTCAGAAGAGGTGCAGAAGAATGCTACTCTTGGCGAACGCTGTAGAAGTTTAGAAAATGAACTGAAGTATCTGTTTTCTACTGTTCTATAAATTTTTGTTGAAAATTCTTTTAGTTTCTGAAGCTCGAGAAAATTTGTGAAGTATTTGACAGGGATTTCTCTTTTAATACAAGCACTAGTCTTTGACTGTCGAAATTGACCTTTTGATTAACCATATATTGAATCTCTCTGTTTTTAATAAAACAGTCTCTGGTTTTTACATCTTCAGATCTTTCCCCGTTGCTTCATGGAAGATGAGGCATGGATAATGGTAAGTTAATAAGTTGAGCTTTCATAATAATTGGATGGCAAAAATTTTTCCAGATTGCTACGTCAGGAGAATTTATCAACAAATGAGCAGCTGCGTCATGCGCGTGCTCAAATAGCTGCTTTAATTTCCGAAAAGGAACAGCTAATACTGGAGTACGGTGAAATGGACAAGAAATTTCAGCGTGTTAAGGAACTTTTGCAGGTTTATTTTAAACGTTTTCACTACTTTTAAAGGCCAAAAGAGATAACGCGTTTGTTTTTCAGTCTGAAATGTCTTCGAATGATAAAGAGCAGATACCATGGGCAGTACTGAAAAACGTTATATACTCGCCGGGAAATTCCAGAAAAAACGGGATTTCTAAACTTTGTAGGATGGTTGGAACAACAGATGATGGAGTGGATTATGACAAAACAGAAGAAACAACAGACTATTCTTTAATGGAAGGTCCAAGTGATGACATAGTTTATTCGTCGCGAACTAGAAAAACTTTCAAAAGGTTAAAAATTTTGCACTGGAGTTTTCCTCTCCAGTTCGCATTTTTTTGTTTTTTTCATCGAAATTTCGACTTGTTTGCAAGCAAATAAATTTGTTTTGAAAACCAGGGATACTTCAAGAAGCATTTTTTTCTAAAATGCTTACATGGAAATATGATGTAAGGAAATCGCTTATTTTCAATATTTTCATTGTGATTGATTTAGATCGCAAAAAAGTGTTAGTATTATTAGCTTATCAGAAGGGTCAAATGACCGTGATGATGCTACCGAAGGAATGATGAAGAAAATTGAGGTGCTCATACGCGTTCATTTTTTATTTTTTTAATAGTCTATCTTAGTAGGGTTATTTTCAAAATATTCTTGAGTAATAAACTTTTAAAGCTGGACAGGTTTTTAGGAAGTGCCCCCGAAACGCCTGAAGGATTCGCTTTTGGCAAATACAAGTACTTCGGCCACGACGATGACCATCATGAATGTTGATGTGACGAAATGCAGTCCTAAACGACGTACTTTGAACCGTTCGTTCTCGGAATCGGAATTGCTTCAAAAAGTACTATTCTGCTTTTATATTCACCTGTCAACTATGCGAAAAGTATTAGTAGTTATTGTACTCCAGCGTGCTACGCCTCTTTTATTCTTCTTAGTTTTTCTGTGGTAATTCGTTTAAGCATAATTTATTTTATGTCTTATAAACTTTCTCGTTTTTAGAAGGATAAAAACGAAAGGTTATCGAAATTAGCCATACAAAGTAACTTTCTTTCCCCAGGATGCACAGTAAATAGCGTTACAGACGTGTACGTTTCGCCACTTTATAATTTCCCGTTCTTTATTTGGTGAACTTATATGATTATCTAAATTTTAAGGTGGTACTCCACAATTACCAGAGATTCCATAACTTCTCTTTTTTTGAAAAAAAGTTTTTTCAGTCGTACTCCACTAGTTCCTCTGCGAAGTTGGACGAAAGGTTCTTCTATAGAAAATCGTAGTCACACTTTCACAAGCTATACTTCAATCATTGGCGACAAATGTGATGTTTGTGCCCGCTGGATTGGTATTGGAGGTAAACCTGCTATCAAATGTAGTGGTAAGTTGGCCGACAAATCTAGCAGTCGCATTCTGTTTAAAGTTGAACTTTTGTTGGACATTTTTTTCTTTAAATTATTTTTAGACTGTAACTTGCATCTACATAAGGCTTGTACTAGTCGGGCTCCTGTGCCATGCCTACCGTATATTCCAACACCCCGTACTCCAGGGAAGCAAAGGCCGAGACTAAAAGATTTTTGTCCTGATTCCCAACCAATGATTCCCAGTTTAATAATTCACTGTGTTCTAGCTTTGGAAAAGTACTTTATTAATTCGGAAGGTCTTTATCGTGTGCCAGGGTAGGTCTGACGGGTCAGCCGTTTTGAATTTAGTTTTAATAACATTTTGTACAGTATAGATTGATTCCAATTTTTTAGACAAGAGTCACGTATAATAAGGCTGTTAAACGAGTTTAAGAATACACGGTTTCAACCGAGGCTAATGTTCCAGGATCCCGAAACTATAACTGGTTGTATCAAGCGTTTCTTAAAGCAATTAAGGGTAATTGGGGTCATTTTTTATTTCTTTTTTTCCAATTTTATTTTTTTCTGTTGCTTATCTTGCAAAATTTTTTAAGGACTCGCTTATTCCCAGTTCATCTTGGGATGAATTTGTTAATGCTGCAGTACAGAGAAGTCAAGGCGACATTGACAAATGCGTTAATGATTTACCTATTCCTAACCGAGACACTTTGGCGTTCTTGTGCAGCCATTTTCAGAGAGTAGTTTTATTTTTATTGGAGCTTGTCATTCTTTTCATAATACATATTGCTCTTATGATAACTAGTTAAATGACGAATTTTTCAGGTTTGTGAGAACAGTAAGAGAAATAAAATGACTCCTGAAGTTCTTGCACGTAGTGTTGCGCCAACAGTCGTAGGACGGTCTCCTATGCGTGCCACAAATATAGTACAGGGTAACGATGAAGCTTCAAAGCAGGTAGAATTAAAATTGAGTATCCCTTTAGTCCTTTATGTATGCTTTGTTTATTTCTGTTCACTTATTGGCTTAAATTTTTTAATGTTTATTCGCATGAATTTTCAACTATTTGGTTCCTGTTAAAATTTAGTTTTTCTGTGTACGTAGCGTTCTTACGTTGTTAAAACTTGTTGAGTATTTAATGTACTTTCATCACTTATTTGGATCAGTGCGTGGTGGTTTTCTAATTTTCAGATTCAGGTCATGTTAGCCTTGCTTGAGATGCCGCGGGGATATTGGTTAAAGTTTTATTCCTGTGCTGACGCAATGTCTGAAAAAACGCTGGCAACGTGAGTGCGATAAAATGATCACTTTTTACCAGTTTTCAGATGCCTTCCCAATTGCTGCTTTTTCTGAAAGCTCTTTGTTTATTTGCAGTTGAAACCTGCTTTCTAATTTTTAAAAAATTTCTGGGTGAAGGTCTCTTGCTTTGCAATCTAGCACTATATTTGATCTTTTACAGTAGAATACTGACACCATCCAACAGGCAACGGAAGGCGGAGAAGAGGTATGAAAGCAGTAATAACGATACTACTGACAAACTTGTTAGAATATCACCTTCTGCTGCTGATCAGTCTATACTCGGACCTATCCGAACTCCACCTATAGGTTACAAAAACAAACCGTTCAAATCATATCAAAGAAGAAACTTTGGTTTAAATCCATATTGAACTTATATAAATCTTTTTTCAAAACATAAAGCTTCATTGTTGAAGCTCTGATTTATGATATATTTCCTTATTTTGCCGCCAATGCTCAGTTATGTATTAATTGGAACCCTCTTTTGAGTTTTGGAATACCTGGTTGTTCAATTTTACACAGTGAAATTTTATGGGATTTCTAGAGACAGTGGTTTTTTTTTGTCTAGTACAGTTTTACTGCTCCGAATAATATTTTTCTTGTGTCAATGAAAGAGGGCTTTGATGGTAGTCAAATTAAGTTGTTATTTTTCAGTTTTATTGGTTGCTTTTTATCTGTATATACCAGTTGATGTTTTTTTATATTACAAATCTGTAAAGATTTCGTTCATATTAACCTAATTTAGTATTTGTCTTTATTTTACTGTTTCTTGTTACTTTTTTTTCTTGTTACTGTATGTGCTTTATGGTTCATTTAGTTTACGAGGTGCTTCTAGAATTGGGTTCTTTGGAATTATCTTAAATTTAATATTTGTTCTTTAACAGTAATCATTAGTTGCTGATATGTGAGTTTTTTGTCGCTCTACAGTGTTTTTCATTTGATTTCTGGAATCATTTTTACCATTATTTGCTTTGTAAATAGCTTTCCAATTTGTCGTTTTTGAACACTTTGTTATAAAAGCTGAGATTATTTAAAGAC